ACAAGATGTACTCTTGCCACCTGGGGGATCCTTGGGAGAAAAAGTAGCAGGAGCGGGAGTGATTTGCAGGAATGACTTGCAGCTTCCTGCTGGCTTCCCCATTGACTTTGGTTGTGGGAAGCCAGCAGGGAAGGCTGCAAATGGCAATCATGTGACCATGGGACACTGCAACCATCATAATGTGAGCTGGTTGCCAAGCGCCCGAATCACAATCACATGACTATGGGGACACTGTGATGGCCACAACTTTGAGGACCAGTCGTAAGTCCCCCTTGTTCAGCACCATCGTATCTTTGAATGGTTGCTGAACAAATGGATGTAAACCAAGGACTACCTATATTTATTTTTGCTTCTGTTTGTATTCTTAGGTATGTAACCACCTATCTTAGAAAACAAACAAATCTGGAAATATGCAGACTTTGCCTGAGTCAGCAGGGAAAGAGTGTCAATGCATTTTCAGTTGTTAAACATCAGAGTAAGAAGGTGTTCTTGAAATTTGAGAACTGATCATATGCTGAGATAACATATAACTGTTGGTTATTGAGGTTGTGAAATTTATCCTGATTAATAGCTCAGATTTTCTTCAAATGTTCACCCATTTACTCTGGACCAGCAGAAACAGGCCCATCAGAACTTTTGCATGGCTAATACCAGCCTCTCATTTGCATGGCCTCTGTTTGTCTGGGAGGTGAAATGTCTGAAGAGCTGGCTAGAATGCCACTGGAGGAACATGAAGAGTGAATCTGCCAAATGCGTGTATAAGCCCACGTTGGGGCCTGTATTGTAGCAATGAGGATGGCATTGCATCTGCGTATCATCCAGTAGCCTTTCTTAAGGTGATCCAGATACCTTTTGGGAAGGAAAGGGAGGAACAATATTGGTAGTGCCACTGTAAGAAATATTTTAGGCATCTCATGGCAAAATTACTCAGACCCATTCAGAGTACACTTCCAGCTGGACAGATCCAACTGAGTTGATTGAGGATAGGTCATCCTTAGTTGTCTATGGAGAGTCTGAGTCTGAGTGTCAAAGAAATGAAGAAGATTCTCTGCACTGTTAGTGCCACCACCTGTATGTTGGATCTTTGTCCCTGTTAAAGATGCCTGGAGGGTGATCTGCACTTAGTTCTCCGATGGTGAATTCACCTTTGAGTCATCTGATAGTTCCACCAGCTTTGAAGGAGGCAGTGGTATATCCTCTCTTCCAGAAACCATTGCTTGACCCTGCAGATGCAAGATAATTTTCCACCAATCTCCAATTCCTCTGTGGGGGGAAGTTGTAGAGAAAGTGGGGGATTACAACTCTATAGAGGGCCCTGGATGAAACAGATTATCTGGACCATGTTTAGTTGGGACTTAGGACTGGGTACAGTGCTAAGACAGTATTGATAGTACTTGTGGATGACATCTGATGAGACAAGGATAAGGGTGGGTCTTTGTCCAACCTGAACTCTCAGTGGCGTCTGATGCCATGAATCATGGTATCCTTCTAAACTATCTCTAAAACCTGGGAGTGCTAGGCACTGGGTTGCAGTGGTTCTCCTCCTTACTTTAAGAGCAGTTTCAGTCAGTGTTGGTAAGGGAGAGTGAGCAAGAGTGAGTGTCCTGATTTATAGGTTTCTTCAGAGCTCTCCCCTTTTGTATCTAACAAGTACATGAGGTTATTGGACAACATTGCCTAGGAGCATGGGGTCAAAGTATCATCAATATGTGGATGAAACTGGTTGTGTATCTTGATCCCAGGCCAAATAAGTGATGCTATTGAGGTCATATCCTGATACTTGGAGATGTCTGATATTAGGATGGGGAGGAATACACTTGGGCTCAATCCTAATAGGACCAAATAGCTGTGGATACAATTACTCCCTGTTTTCAGGGATTTTTCAATATTAGTTATTGATTGGATTGCACTACCCCAGACAGAACTGTGTAATTTTGGGGTCTTCTTGGACTCTCACCCCATGCATGAGGAGCAAGTGGCAACCATAGGCAGGAGGGCCTTTGCACAGATACATCTGTTATGATAATTATGCCCTTTCCTAGTTTGGAAGGCTGTTTCTCACTGTCACTCATATCTTAGCCACCTCACATTTGTATTGCAATTCATTCTATATGGGGCTGCCCTTGAAGACCTTGTTGAAGCTACAGCTGGTCCAGAACACAGTGACATAAGAAGTCATGGATATAGCTCATTTCAGCAACATAACACTACTACTTTACAAGCTGCAGTAGTGCCCACTTGGGTTCCAGATGCAATTCAAGATACTGGCTTCACTTAAAAGTTCACTTCATGGTGTGGGGCCTGGGAACCTGAGACTACCACTCTTTGATGGTTTATGCCCATCTGGTAAACTCTAGCAGAGTCAGCATCCCATTGGCAAAACAGTGGCACCTTGTGAGATCCCAGTGATGGATTTTCTCTGTGGCTCCTATCCCATGGAATGGCATTCCCCCCTGAAATTCACATGGCCCCAACCCTGCTGGCCTTTAGGAAAGCCATTTGGCTCATCTAGCAGGCCCTGGAGTAGGGTAATTGGTAACCCCTGCTTGGTGAGCGTTATATGGTAGTTTGTTTCCCTGTTATATTTCCAATTGCTGTTGTGGATGTTTTCATTTTCTGTTTTAATTCTAATTACTTTCTATGCCATCTAGAGTTGCTTCAGTGATTGAGGTGGCTAATAAACTGATTAAAAGCCAAATACCCAATAGCTCCTCAATGCTTGCTTTGCTCATCAGATTCATCATCATTCTGGTACCATCTAGTTCCCAATCAGGGGTGTGTGTGACAAAATAAACATATGTGATGTGGGAATCTTGTGCGATTCGGAATGTGTGTGTATCTATGTATACACACACATACACGCACTAGAATACTTGAATGAATGAATGAATGAATGAATGAATGAATGAATGAATGAATGAATGGATGAATGGATGAATGAATATTAAAAAAAAGAATCACCTCTCACCCCTGTGGGTGGTATGTGTCTTCCTCAAATCTCAGGTCCTCTACCAGAGGCCTG